AGGCACAGGTATGGGAATCAGCCCTGACCCAGCACTCCTGGGCCCATCAGCCCTCAAGAAGGTGGCTGTGTGTGACCTATGTGCCCAGCACTAAACACTTTGGCCCTCAGAGGCCAAGGACAGGGCTCTGGGAGGGCGATCTGGACTGAGGCACTCTCCAGGCAGCAGGGGAGCAACAACTTTCTTGGGGTAGTTTCCAGAACAATCTTCAACAGTGATATAGAGAGGCAGCAAGTGCAACTGCCGTGTGGACAGACTGAACTAGAATACGCGTTTGTGGTGTCTGCAAACCTGCTGATTCCATGCCCCACATTCACCTTCTGTGATCTGGAATTTTTTTGGCAACTCCAAGAGAAGGAAAGGTGGAGAAGCCCACCATTGAAAGGCTGGTAATGGACTTTCTGCCAATAAGAAAGGTAAAGACTTGAGCAATTAGCTGGGAAAATAAACGGTATTTGACCATATTTGTTCCATGAGTTTGGGGAGCATGCTGCAAATAAAATGAGGGGAACATTCTATGCTGTTGAGTAGATGCTGCTTGGGCTGAGAGTCGGCAAGACTCTCAGGCTTTCACAGAAGAATGCCCGCTAATGAAGGCGAAAGGACAGAATTAGAAATTCATCACTGTAATTACTACTGATGTGGTGAAGGGCATAAATGAGCGGTCAGCGAGGACAAATGTGTTCTTTTGAGAAGGAAGATCACAGGAATTAAAAAAAAAGGAAGTGTCTACTTGGGGAAGGCACCCAAGATAAATTTTAATAAGGGGAAGTAAACATTTGGCAAGTGATAATTTCAATCAGATCCTCTTTGGTGTCAATTATGAAGAAAAATAAATCTATGTTAAGTTAGATTTTCTATAGAATATAGGTGAGAGTTATTACATATTTTACAAAGTAGTGTGAATTGTCTTCATGATTAGTCTAGTCCAGCAATTTTCAACCAGTGTGCCACAGGTGTGCCGCAAGCATTTTTAAAACATGCAATACCGGACTCCTGACTCAGGGGCACTGAGCTCTTTTCCCTCTGATTGCCAAATAAAAAACTGATGATAGCCAACACAATAGCTGTCTGGTGTGAATGAATAAAAATTATACCTACCTTTTTGTCAGATGGGCAAAACGTATATTTCTTGATATGCCACATAATTTTAGTAATTAACTTATGTGTGCTGTAAGATGAAAACGGTTGAAAATCACTGTCTAGTCAATTAAATCACTAATATCCCAACTACTATAATGCCTGAATTAACAAGTTCAAGAGTCTGATTATTCTGAAAAGAACAATCATCAGCTTCTTACTAAACTGCATTGTTGGAACATGAAAAACATGTTTTTAAAATTAATTTGTAGTCACTTTAACAGAGGAATATTACTATGAATACATGGGAATT